TTATTAAATTTGATAAGATAATTGCTGAGATATTTAAGCTTAAATTCAAGAAAACTTTTACTTAGAAAAAATTTGTCCCTTTTCTATTGACTCCACCCCATATCTTCTCAATAGGGTGTGATAAATTGATAATTGAGAAGAATAGTAGGTCTTTTACAAATCGCTCGCCGTATACCTGGTTCTCACGGCTGTGCAAGATGCCAAGGTCTGCTCTGTGCGTTGAGTCTGACTGTTATTTATTGGCCCTTCCACGTAAATAGGCTTTCCTGCCCGCCTACTTACATCATTCTTCTCTGAAAATGGTCAACAAAAAAGGTTTTTAATTAAAATTTTTTCTTTAGTAATGTTACTAATAATTTCTTCTTCGTCAAAGTCAATAGGTTGGATTTCTTCATCCTCCAATTCAAATACCGTATCTTCATCCAAAAACAAGTTATTATTTGATGTTGTTTCAGTTGCTAAATCAAAAATCATTTCATTAATAGTTGGGACGACTTTACTTAATATTACATAGGTATTTCCTGAGAACTCCCATGTTGCTTCCTCAAACGGCATCAGCAAATCAATAAGCTGGTCCAGAAGTTCTTATTCATTATTTGAAAGTAGAATTTTTTTCAATTTATTACCATCTTTTCTAATATTCAAATCGACTGATGTATATAAATCAGTTTGAAGCTAAATAATAGTATCTTTTAAAAAAAAAAGACGATCTCAGGCATAATACATAGAGTTCTAATGCATGGACATATCTTGTATGCAACGAACAACATCCACATACCAAGCTTTACTTGTACTTCCTCCAATCTTTCAATTTGTTTTTGGTATTGAAAAAACTAAATCAATCTTCTTGCACGTGCAACTAGAACTTCTGCTAGTACTAACTTTTTTCTAACTGCCAATTAAAGAGTATGAGCCATACATGGAAGATGTTTGATTCTTTCACATCCATCTTTTCGGTTTAATAAAGGAAAAGTTGAAACCATGTTTGCACCATTATCAGTAGTGATTGATGTTATGCAATTCTCAAGTTTCCAAGCTTTAATACATTTATAAAGCTCATTCGCAATAACTTCACTACTATGTAGTGAGGGAATGTATTTATTTTCTAGTATTATATCTTTAATTTTAAAGTTTAGCATAATCCAAGTCGCTGTAACCTCTAGATATCCATGTTTGGCTCTACTGAACCAGAAATCTATTGTAAGAGAGACGTTTTCTGCTATTTGAATAAGAAGATTTACTAAATTTTCATGATTATATTTGTAACTTTTAACTATCATAGTTCTAATTTTTTTTTTCTCTTGGGATTACAAAAGAAGAGTCAAATTCTGCCATTTTTTCTTTATAGGCTTCATTAGTGACTGTTGAAAGAGGCTAATTAGAAAGTAGTATCTATTTGAGAAGTGTTTCTTCACGTCGTTTTTGAATATGAGGAGGATAGGGACGAGCTTTTCGAACAAAGTTAGTAATTTTGGAATTTCGTAGCTAAAAATTAATAGCATTTATGAATCAATTAATATATATAAATATTATTTTATTTATAATACCTTTTTTGAATTATTTATATTATCTTGTGAAGTAATTCCATGTTCATCTCTAAGGTGCGTAATAAGATTACCTGTTGAACTTCCCACATTTTTGTATTTGTGTCTGCATTTTATGCCATCTTTATTTACAAATTTTGCAGACTCACATTTCTTCACCTTTATCATTAATTTTATCAAAATATTCGTGAGTAAACGATGGAATTTTATGTTTGTATTTCCTTTTATTTTCAGGTTTGTTAGCTAAAATAAAAAAAAATATAAATTATTAGTTATATAAAATCTTTAAGTTTTAGTATTGTCAATAATTAACACCTTTTTCCTTGTTTTTTAAAAGTGTAGGCAAAGGAGTTGTTGTTTGAATGCTAGAGTTATCAGCTACTGGTGAGCTAAGAGTTTTAGTTAAACTTTCTGCAATTCCTGAGTTATCATTATTGTTATAATATTCATCATTCTCCATCATCTCGTAATAATATCCAAAATCTTTATCCTCCATCTCTAAGGTTTTCATCATGATTTATATTCAATATATCAAATATTTGGTTTTAAAAATTGGTATCAAAAGAGTTTCTATTTATCCAACTAGCATGTAACAAATTGCAATATGTTTTATTTCAAGTTTCATTAACTCTTTTTATAAATTACTGATTTTTAATTACACAATATATATTTTCAAACTAGTCAATCAAGTCTATTATTAACAATTTATTTAGTGCATATGTAAACCTTCTAACGTTCTCCTTAACCCATTCTAGGAATCAGAAGTCAGACTGATTCTACTAGATGTATACTTGATCTTGGTGCAACTACTTAATTTTTTTCTTTAGAACAATAATCTTTAACAATTATATAGTCCTTTAATGATAGTCAAGAATCAACTAGTTTTGGCTCAATTATTATTACACTTGGGAAAGAATATTTCAAATTTTACTTTTATATAAAAATTTAAAATTAATTAATTAATTTGATATACTTTTATTATTTAAGGTTCGAAAAATTGAAATGACATCCTCAGCTAGGAATTATAGTATTTATGAAATCACAAGGTTAGTAATCACTATAATTATTTTATAGTGACAAGTTTGCCCTATTGATTCTTTTTTTCTAACATATTTATACTAATTATACATATCTCAGACAGTTCATTAACCTAAATCTCTAATTAGATAGTTTCTTTAAGATTTATTGAGGTCAATAATCCTCATTAAAGTTTATTCAGGTCTGTAACCCGATTTGTATCTTTTTAGAAGTTTGTTTAGATAAATAAGAAAAAAAAATCAAATTTGGCGTAACTTTGGTAAATTTTATGAAAACTAAGAACTGGCAAAAATAGTTATTTTTTAAAATGACAAAAATCTTAAATCTTGATGGTGGAAATCAATTAATGTTAAATATGAGTGCATTAGAATTTTTAGCAATTTGGCACTGATGGAAAGTGATAGCGGAACCTAAATCAGTAAATCGGTTCTCAATGAGAAATCCAAAAGCCACCAAACAGATAAATTTACTGATAAACTTTGATTAGCACCATTTATTGCTAAATATTGATCTTTTTTTGTTAAAACACGGCGATGAAGTTCAATTTTTTAAAAGCGTATGTCCAGATTTAATTCAGATTTAAAATTCTCAAGCAAGTTAATAGCTTGAATCTAGAATGTAATGTTGGATCAGGTGATTTGCTTGAGAATTTAATCATACTTTATTTAGAGTTGTGATCCATTTCATCATGTTTACAACAAGCATGAAAAATCTGAATTAGTAAAGTTATCTCAAACCCGAAGCCTGATTTTTTTTTTGCACTACTTATATCTAGGATTAGGATCCATATAATCCTTATCCTTAATCCAATATTTATTAAGGATATATCCATTAAAATTATCAAATTCGGATATCCGCATTTAATCCGAATTGTTGGATTACAGATCGAAACACTAGTTGGAGTGAATATAGTACAATTATAGCATAATAGTTAAATAAGTAAATTTGGAACAAACGTAGAATTAAACGAATATACATAGCACTAGATTTAGATAGATTTAGAACTAATATAAATTTAGTAGATTTGTAATATAGTACAAGAGTTTGATAGATTTGAATATAGCACGAAAGTTTAATTTTATATTAGTTAGTGCTAGATTCTTAATATATAGTTAAATTCTTAATATAGTATGATAGTAGTTAGTTTAAAATTAATAAATAAATAATAAAAACTTTAAAAAATAAAAAATAAATTTAAAAATAAAGTGAAATAAAAAAAGCTTAACAGCTATAATTGATTAATGATTATACTTTAGAAATTTCTAGAATCAATTGATTGCTAATTATTTTCATAAAAGGTATGATTAGCAGTATCCATTTATGGTATATTCCCAAACTGATATATATAAACCAATTGTGCTATTGCTGCTTTTAGTAATTAATAAAGATGATTAAGCTTCTTCAGTTTATTATACTATAAAAACTAATTCTATATATTTATTAGAACAATTAGAAATACATATAGAAAGAGGTGTGTGACTTAGTGTAGTGGTCTAGTCATCACCCTTTCCAAGTGGAAAGTCTAGAGTTTAAATCTCACTGGCAACGATATTTGAAAAATAGGCCTGTGTTCAGTTAACAGCTATGTTTATCGATTAGATCTAGAACTAAATTTGTAACTTCGATCACACCATCTTGTAATAGGAGCTTTGGCACAATAAATCCAAGAAACTTGCATAACCGAAAACCCATTTGGAAAGTCCCAAATCTGAATATAACAGTAATCTTTGACAGTATCACAGGAGGGCTGAATTCGAACTGGGCCCGAGATTGAAGAGCCGAGCGACCAGGTTCTATAGCAGAGGACACACCAGCTAAACCACCAGATTGTTGTACTAGAAAAAAAGAGCATACGCTTCAAAAGTATAAACCAAGAAAAGGGCATCCTTCAGGTATTTAAAGCCTGGGCAAACCAACCCTTCTGGGTTGCCGGCTAGAAGTAAGAGAGGAACTAATAGAGAATCTGAGTAAGAAGACAGTTTCAAGTGTGGGTACTAAGATTGTTGTAAACTATTAAGGGCAATAAGTATATAATGGAAAACTAATTAGGAAGGTTGTAGCTTGAGATATGGATCAGGTTACAGTATTGCTCTAAAGGGTAGCTTGAGATATGGACTCGATATCAGCAGCACAACAGGTACTAACTAGAAAGATATTATGGAACATGCAGGTAAATGCATATATAGAACATGTACCGCTCTGTTGGGCTTACCTTTGAGGATAGTAAAGTGTCCTAAGTTGGCTGTTTATGTAGTGGTATCACAAAATCTACATTTAAATAGTAAGTTACATCTGTGTTAAGATGAGCGTCAGGCCAAATATATTAAGACCAGAAGGTTTAAATAGGTGCCCCCCTAGTTGAGGTGCAAGTATAGCAGATAGTGTAGAACCTTTGGGTGGACTATTTAAATTAGGTACTTAAAAGATACACATGTGGCTTGATATACCTTTGTCTAAATGTATAGTGTCTGAACTTGACTTAATAAAAATTGCCGACCAAGAAGATCTTCTTTAATTAAAAAAAAAAAAAAAAATACATATAGAAATAGAAATGTGGTGGCTTAGTGAAGTGGTCTAGTTGTCACCTTTTCCAAGTGGCAGGTCTAGAGTTCAAATCTCACAGACAATGATTTTGAAAAATAGGCCTATAATATGGTAACATGTATAAGATAATTGGATTTTGAATTGAGGATCTGTAACTTGAGTTGTACTAGGAAGTGATTTTGGGAGATCCACTAGTATTTGTACAACTGGGGAAACCTAGGAACTACAAAGAAATGCAAACCGGCTTAGGCGATACAAACACTCGATAAGTTTATGATTATGTAAATCTGGAGAATTGTTCTTCACTGTACAGGAAGCCCATTTGGAAAGTTCTAAGTAGTGCTCGGCAAAATCAAACAAAAACTTGATTATCAAGTTTTTAAATCTATCAATTTACAATATTGGTATTAGATACAGATTTTATTTTTAGTATATATATAAATCTAACAGGAATCTGATCTTACTTTAGACTTTGTAATAACTAATATGAAAGTTAAAGTCAGATTAGAGTAAAAATAGATTTTATAACTGAAACACAATACTATAAATTAATAGATTCAAAAACTCGATAATCGAGTTTTTGTTTGATTTTGCCGAGTACTAGTTCTGAGTTGGAAGTAGCAGTGATCTTTGATGGTACTACATAACAGCTGAATTTGAACCGGAGCCAAGATTGATGAACCAAATAACTAGGTCCTTTAGTAGAAGGATATACTAGCCGAACTGCCAGGCTAATACATCAGAGGAAAAGGGCATATACTTTGAAAATATAGACCAAAGAGAGAGTATCCTTCAGACACCTAAAGCCTGAGCAAACCAACCCTTCTGGGTTGCTGGCTGGAGTAAGGGAGGAACCGATTAAAAATTTGGGTAAGAAGATAGTTGGATTGGGGTATTGGGGTTGTTGTGAACTTGCAAGGGCAGGAGTATGTAATAGATGACTAATTAGGAAAGTTGGCATTTGAGATACGAATCAGGTTGTAGCAGCACCCCAAAAGTTGGCTTAAGATACGAACTCGTTGGCGGCAACACAATATGTACTAGTTAGAAAGAAGTTATCAAACATGTAGTTGAATACATGTGTAGAACATGTATCATGCTATTAGATTTACTACACAGATAAATGTCTTCTGTTGTTGGCTAAAGTCTTAGTATCTTTAAATAGTAAATTGTTTCTGTAAAAATAGACATATTAGGAGGAAATATGTAGCACCAGTAAAAGCTAGAAAGTTTAATTAGATAGCTTTCTAGTTAGGCTATAAATATGATATCTAGTGTAAAACCCTTAGCATAGTACTAACGCTTCAGGTGGACTACTTAATTAGGCAACCAAAAGTTGTATATATAACTAGTTGTACTTTTGTAATACTGATGTAACATGTGGTCTATGTCTTTGAACATTGACTACCTGCTTGAACTAATAAAGTGCCAGAAACTATGAGTAGTCACCTTAATATCTAAAAAAAAAAGAAATATATAGGACTGCCAATAACTAATATAAATAGTCAATTTATTTATTAGTAAAATTCCAGAAATATATAAGATTATCGATAACTAATATAAATTTTACCAGATTGTGCTAATAGTCAATTTATTAATCAATAAAATTCTAGAGACATAGATTTGCCAAAAACTAATATAAATTTTACCAGATTTTGTTTATAGTCAATTTATTTATTAGTAAAATTCTAGTAATATATAGGTTTGCCAATATTTAATATAAATTTTACCAGATTTTGCTTATAGTCAATTTATTAATCAGTAAAATTCTAGTGACATATAGATTTGCCAGTACTATAATAAATTTTACCAGATTGTGCTAAAAGTCAAATTATTTATTAGTAAGATTTTAGTAAAATTCTAAAGATATATAGGATTGCCAATAACTATAATAAATTTTACTAGTTTGTGCTTATAGTCAATTTATTT